GTTTACATGGTGAAAGCTGGTACCTGGCATCATGGGCTACAGAACCTAAGTCTCTATAGGTCAAAGATAGCAAAAATTAAGGGTCCCCAGAGTGAAGCAGGCAATTCTCTGCAGATAGTATCACAGAATTGGAAGGGACCACGAGGGCCATCTCATCCAAGTCCTTGCAATGTAAGAATCCTTTTGCCCAATGTGGGATTAGAACCCACAAACCTGAGACTAAGAGTCTCATGCTCTACCAGCTGAGCTAGGGTTTCCATCTAACTCATTGGAGGGTGATGAGGAAGCAGAGCTGGCCCTGAGGAGTTGAGAAGGAAGGAAGGAAATGGATCCATCATATGATTATGCACTGAGCCAGAGAAGGAAACAGAGGTCAAGGCACCACTTCCCTGACTTCTTGGAAATGCTGACATGTTCGCTTCCTGAAATGGTGCACAGTGGCCATAATCTCAAAGAACCCTGGGCAGAGAGAGCAATGGAAAGTTTCTCATGTGGCTGGTAGGAGCATGACATAGCAAGAGGCAAATTTACTGCATGCGAATTAAGATATAACCAAGTCTGCTAACGGATACAGCAGCCAGCAAGCCTTCCTTATCAAGCTCCTTCAATTAACTTTTAACTGCGGTAAGGAAAACACTTTTCATGTTTTATTATATCTATGCATCCAGACACAGGCCTTTCTATCTGACCCTTGGGTCTCTCCCCAGGTGAAATCCCCTTCTGGCTCACACCCTTTGTCCCTCTGGCCACACCCTGCCCTCTCCTTGTTTCACATCCTCCCAGGGTGTTTTTGCTTACCTGGGAAAGTGTCCTCTAAGAATGACTCTTGCTTCCTGGATGCAGGATAGGGAGGGGTGAGCGAGTGCATATAGAAACTATCCCCCTGTAAGAATCACAGAGGCTAAACTAGTCAAACTGTCTGCAAGGCATGAATCTCAACTAAAGCGTTATTAAGAGCTCCAATTCATCTTGCTTGTTTCTGATACTCTATGCATTCATTGCTCCATTTGTTTTTGCTTCTGGCTTTGCCCACCAGTGGCAAGTAGCCTTTAGAATGTCAACCAGAAGGGAATGTGGACCTCAACGCTGAATCCCCAGTGCTGGTTTAGATCTATACTATTATAGTATAGATCTATAGTTTAGATCTATACTATTATAGTATAGCAGAGACATCACCTTGCCAACAAAGGTCCGTATAGTTAAAGCCATGGTTTTCCATGGTTTTCCCAGTAGTGATGTATGGAAGTGAGAGCTGGACCATAAAGAAGGCTGATCGCCGAAGAACTGGTGCTTTTGAATTATGGTGCTGGAGGAGACTCTTGAGAGTCCCATGGACTGCAAGAAGATCAAACGCATCCATTCTTAAGGAAATCAGCCCTGAGTGGTCGCTGGAAGGACAGATTGTGAAGCTGAGGCTCCAATACTTTGGCCACCTCATGAGAAGAGAAGACTCCCTGGAAAAGACCCTGATGTTGGGAAAGATGGAGGGAGCAAGGAGAAGGGGACGACAGAGGACAAGATGGTTGGACAGTGTTCTCGAAGCCACAAACATGAGTCTGACCAAACTGCGGGAGGCAGTGGAAGACAGCAGTGCCTGGCGTGCTCTGGTCCATGGGGTCACAAAGAGTCAGACACGACTAAACGACTAAACAACAACAATTAGATCTATAATGTTGTTAAACATTAGCGGAAAATGTTTCTGTTCTGCCAGGCCTATGTCGGCAGTTCCCAGAGCTCCCTGTGAAGCAGGACAAACACCTTCATGAATGCATAAAAAGGCAGGAACTGGTGTATGAATCATGCAGCAAGATTTTTAAAGCCGGCCCAAGAGCAGGGTAGGGATGCTTTTTTAACCAAGGGCCGAATATCCTTCTTTGCAACCTGCCGAGGGTCACATGACAGTGGTGGGTGGTGCCAAAGCAGAAGTGGACAGTAATGCAACCAATAGCATTTTTACCTTTGCACAATAGGCTGGCTTCTACACATGCTGGCAAAGCCTTCTCTGCTCTCCAGTCAGATGAGAAACAGTTATTAGCAGCACTGAATGAAAATCTCCTCTCCAACCCTCCCCCCCAGCAAAAACTCTTGGAGTGCGAAGCAGTACCAGAGATGGGTGTGGCTTGGGAAGAGGGCCAGAGAGGGAGGCCAGAGAGGGAGACTTTGAGGGCCACATTCTTCCCCAATGCCTGAAGCTCCACAACCCTACCCCAAAATGTGGACCCACATCTATTTTGGGCTTTGCTTCGGGGATGTCTTGGACTGGCACAGTTGAGAGAGGGCTGAGGCCAATGGCTTTTGCCTGAAAGAGTCTCAAATTTATGGGTGGTTCAACTCATGTTTGATCTTTCTCAAAGGTCCTTCTCTGACTCTGATGCAGACTCTTTCTCCAGTTGCAGGGACCTGAGCTGCAGTGTGTCTCTGGATCTCGCTGCTGAGCTGCCATGAATTAAGATCTTTCCCCTAGGTCCAGAGTTCAACTCATAAAACAGAAGTGCTGGGTTTACTGCCTGGCAGTAAAACTGCCATGATTGGCCATATGGCAGCTCCCTGGCTTTGTTGCAAATGCAAATGCAAATGTTGGAGCCCTTGGCATGGTCAGCATCTGAGGTTGGCATTACCAGGCACCTACTGAAGCCCACACCCCTGTTGCAGACCCATGACTAGCTCTATGCATGGTGGTCAGATTACTGTCATTCTGGGTGGGGTTGCGCTCCCTCTGAAGGAGCAGCCAAGGCTCTTGAAGATAGGGACAGGGAAACATCCCATTCAACTTGTATCCCAATCTCTGTCAAGCGGTAACAAGATTCTAGATCAGGGGTCAGCAAACTTTTTCAGCGGGGGGGCAGTCCACTTTCCCTCAGAGTTTGTGGGGGGCTGGACTATATTTTTGGGGGGGAATGAACAAATTCCTATGCCCCACAAATAATGCAGAGATGAATTTTAAATGAAAGCACACATTCTACTCATGTAAAAACACTCTGATTCCCAGATCATCCATGGGCCGAATTTAGAAGGCGATTGGGCTGAATCTGGCCCCCGGGCCTTAGTTTGCCTGCCCATGTTCTCGATGGTTCCAAGTGCTCATCCAGGGTTTGTATTTCCACTGGAAAATCAAGACACAGTGTAGTCTGCATAGTCTTAGAACTATGGTTTATTCACACATATTTACACCTAAAGCCTTCAGTGGAGGGGGCACCTCTCCCTGCTCCTTTCATAGCTATAGCAAGCTTGGCTCCAAAGCAGCAGCCAGTCATGGCCCTCCATTTCATGGTGCAACCTCTCCCAGCCAGCGTGCATGGAGTTCTGCATACTTCCTTCTTCTTGCTCAAGAACGCCTTACCAATAAACGTCTGTGTAGACTCAAGGGACACCCTCCTTTCCCACAGTGACATCATGTCCCCCTGCTCCCCAGGGCCTTCTACATGGTTGATGAGAGCTAATGGCTGTCCATCAGCACCATTGTTCCCTTCAATGACCCACCATCACCAGGCTGGCCTCATGAGGAAGTTTTCTGGTTCTATTTCCAGCCATTGCTAAGTCCAGGAATCCATGAGTTTGCTCAAACTCTGACCCTCCACTGGATGTAAAGATTATGGGGAGTCTGCCCACCTCTCCCTTCATAACAGTAGTTTTCGGGGGGGAGGACACAAACTGAAAGTTATTTTACTTAGTATATGTGTGAGGTTTTTGTCTCAGCATCATTTGGGTAGGTTATTTAACTGTTCATTTGTTATTTTCCCTTAGCAGTGTGAAAAGTTAGGGCATGGTTCCCCTCTGTCCCCCCTCTCTTCTCCTCCAACCTTATACTATAAACAACATCAATGTCTCACATTGAATGTAACTGATCCGTAGAAAAGACTCTATGCCCTGAAAATAGAGACAACGTACACACTTTTAGGAAAGAAATATTTAATGAAGGAATCCATGAGTTTGCTCAAAGTTGGACCCTTCACTGGATGTAGAGATTCTGGGAAGTTCATAACAGTATATTCCAAAACAACACACAAACATAAAAAAAAAGGGCAGCCTTCAAAATTGGTCCTTCTCTGACTATTGCAATGGGGTTTGTTGTTAAACCGTTCTTGGAATTGTGGCACTCTGAGATGCTCTGTCACTGGGAAGCAGCCCTTCCCACTGTCAATGTCTCCTTTTGTTGTTCCTCAGACCACCAGCTCCTTCAAGCTAGGGTTACCATCTCTCCTCTTTTTCCAGGACACATCCTCATTTTCAGTGGTAAAATCTGAGACGAATTGCAGTTATTTGCTCTGAACGGTCATCATAACTGTCATAGTGTCCTCTTTTTCATTCTTCAAAATAAGGCAACCCTACAAAATAAGAATGTTCTTCGCTCCTGTGCTAAGCAGAAGCTTAGCAGCTTGGCTCATGCCTCTTGCTTGACAAAATGGAGATGTGGCTAGGAGCATAGGCATGACTGAAATGGTAGTGGGACTTGCTTCTGATTTTGGGTTTTAGTTTCTTCATTTGTTTTAACTGAGGTTCATCTCTTTTATACATGCAATAATCTTGGACACAGCTAAGGAGTGTTCCTCTGCCCCAGAATGGCCACATCACTTTGTGAATCAATACGAAGAAAGGTACCTTAGGAAGAAACACAAGGATCTCTTTTGTAGGCTCACCTGTGCCACCCCACTCAGCCACAGAAGGAACCTCTGACTGGCACCTTCTCTTTGTTAAACCCAAGTTGACAGCCATCCAGAAGAAACAAACAAAACCATTTTTGGACTGAATATTCTTTATTGGCCCTGCAATATTTCATTCAGAAAACAGCCTGGAGCTTCAAAAACACACTTTGAGGAGGTGCGGGAGGTACTGTGGTACTCAAATCAGGATGAGGAAGAAATTCAATTTTGTATGCATATTAATGAGAAACTAACTCATTTGCACTTTCCAGACCAATATGCAAACTAAAACCCACCTAGCCTTCAAATTTCACATTTCTCAGAATTTTGCAGTGTAGTTCTTCAACCAAACAGCGTATACGAAAATGCATTTATGAGAGTAAAGTGTATATATTAGGGATAATAACATACTATGTATATTGTTCCAACTGCCTGCAAAAGTTGTGTTTAATAGGGTAAATTCATGCTAAATGTCGGCAGATTTTCATTTTATTTTTTAAATGAAAAACTTAAAAGCACTGAAATTTGACAGATTTGTCCATTCCAGTGCCGAAATGCTCATGGCATGAAACCTTCAAGGTGGCTAGCATGGAAAGAGAGCTCAGGAGAGAGACTTCATAAAGGGAATGCTGGAGATCATAGGTAGCAGGAGGAGGAAGAAACTCTTCAACAGGATATGGCTGGCACTAGGTATCGTTGTTGCTTTAGGAGTTGTGGCTGGTTTCCAAGTTGTGGCTGATGTGGAATTTCTGGCTTGTTAAGGATTACGCAGCAGGGACACATGTTATTGTTTTGATATTGTAGGGGATTCCTCCAATTGTCAATGCATAGTTTTCTACACCGCACATATTGCTTGTTCCACAACCATGCAGGACGAACGTCTTGGCACCTGCAGGTAAATATGGGGATCATCAGCAGGTGTCAGTGGTAGCTGCTCTAGGAAAACAAATGGGGCATGGCCCTGTCAATGTCAATCTGCCCTCACCCAGCCCCCACCGGCCTGCCTTCTGACTCACAACCAGTCCAACGGATGAGCTTCACCATCTGCTTCCTTTTCCTTAGGGGCATTGGCTCTTGTAGATCGGAACAGGGAGGAAGATGGGTACAAAACTAGGACTAGTTACTCTGCCTGCCATGGGCTCTGCCTATGGTCAGTCCTATGCTAATTGATTGTAGAACCTTATATTTTCAGAATTTGTATTTCTATATAGTAGTTGCCTGGGGTCCCATGGTGCCCATGGTGTTTTGCAGAACACCCAGCCACCTTTATAGCAAACTGAAAGAAAAAACAGGGAAAGGCTGGGAAATCTGGGGTCTGCCAAAGAAAGAACCTGGGGCTCAGACCTCTGAGACCACGAGTGTCTGTTCCTCAGCCACAGTGGAAATAATTTTGCAACAATTGGGATCCATCCATTCTTAACCTGGCCCTGGGCTGGATTGGGGAGGAGAGGAAGAGGCAGATGAGAAAAACAGATATGGGCGAAAGTGGTTCAACTTGGGGACACTTGGCAAATTCTCAGTTTTTTTTATTTCAGGGGTTTATTTCCGAGCCTGTGATTCTCCCTGAGCTATAACTCCTTCTGGGGTGCAGCCTGTCCCCCCCAGACCACATCCATAACCAGCCTACTCATCACCCTCCTTTGGGGCTAGAACACTTGCTTGCCTGGACAGAGGAGAAAGATGGCTGCATGTTGTGCATGTGAAATGGGGGGGGGGGACCTCAATGTTTTTGCTCCACCCACTTCTGATTCTGCTCCACTCATCACAGGCACCTGACCTCTGGTAAGCAAATTTATATAATTGTTAAATATTTATAGCACCCTTCTTCTCAAAAGAGCTTGGGTCAGTCAACACATTCACAATTTATTTTTACATTGATTGTTGTTGTTTTTTTAAAAAATTAATCCTCCATCTGAAAAAGGTATCCCACCTTTACTGCTAGGAGCTCAAGGTGACATATTTGGTTGTCACAACCATCAACATCTTACAGTGGTACCTCGGGTAAAGAACTTAATTCGTTCTGGAGGTCTGTTCTTAACCTGAAACTGTTCTTAACCTGAGGTACCACTTTAGTTAATGGGTCCTCCCATCGCCACCGCATGATTTCTGTTCTCATCCTGAAGCAAAGTTCTTAACCCGAGGTACTATTTCTGGGTTAATGGAGTCTGTAACCTGAAGCATCTGTAACCCGAGGTACCACTGTATTTTATGTTCACAACATGGCTGCCATGGAGTCCAACTGTGCTAGGGAGAAAAAGAAACCTCTTTCCTATCCAAGCATGCATTTCCAATAATAAACCCGCTACTTATTCTCCAATGCCAAGTGCCTCTCTGTGTGACTGCATCAAAGTAATCCTCCTCTCCTAACAAGTATTCAGAAGCTGAAAACCTCCAAGCTGTGTGCTAACTCTGCATACCAGTCAATAGTATTCAGAGTCATATTTCTTCAACACTGGTTGCAAAAGAAAGCCCATGTGGCTTATCATTATGCTGAATCTGTCTAATACTTTTTGAAGGCCATCCAGTGTGGTGGCCATCATCACTATGTCTTGTAGGACCAGTTCCCATCATTCAACTATGCACTGGGTGACAAAGTATTTTCTTTTGCCCATCTGAAATGTTCCAACATTTAGCTTCTAAATGTTCCAAGTTCTACTCAAATGAGAAGGACTTATGTGAATGGGCCCAGACTCAATCACACACTCATGACACTTTAGCACTCCAAAGGATGATGCACACATGCCATTAGCACCTTATCATGGGTGCAATCCCACCATGCTCTGGCACAGCACTTGTTCATTTCAATGATGCTTGCACCAGAGAACATCCTGGAAGATGGTTCTCCAAGAGTCAGGGCTGCAAGTCTCTTGCTCTGCTGCCTGAGATAGTCATCTCATCTTGCCTGATGGTTGGTCCACCTCTAGATCCTCCAGAGGCAGCATTCCCCTCCCACCTGCTCTCCCCACCCCACAGAATCCCTCCTCCTTTGCTTAGTCCCTTCAGAGTCCCTTACCAGAGCTTCCTTCTACAGTGATGCAATTCCTTTGACCATCTGTGCATAAGACCGGTCCATCCGTGCACTCCTTCTCCGTCTGAGCATAACATCCTTTTGGGCAAGTGAGCCCATTCTCAGTCCAAGGAGCTTGAAGAGCTAGGAAGCAAAGAAGAAAGAAGCAAATGGTCATATATGGAAAGTTTTTACATAAGAATCTCCGAAGAGCCCCATTGGATCATTGACAGGCCTGCTTCACACAGACACAGCAGCCGCAGCCTTCCTAATACATTCACACAACCACTCACTGAGTCCTCCCCACTCCCAGCTCTTTGTTAGCATATTCTTTGTCAGAATGAAAGAATGAGGTCTAGAGACACAGGTTTGACACCTTTCCTGTCTTGTGTTAGGATGAAAGGTGTGGAGGGACTAAAACTTCCTCCACTCCACCCTGTTCCTGCCAAGTTTCAAAAGCTAATTGAGAATGTTTTCATCATTCTGAAACCAAGGGCCCCTCCAGACTGGTGTTTTATTGCAGGTTCATTTGTGCAACATGTTCTTCAAACTATAACACTGCATTAGTGATGGATTTATCCTGGTTTCATTTCTTCTGTGATGCTTCTCCAGTTCTACTGCATTCTACTGTGGGATGAAAATAAACCAGGACATTTGTGGTATGAAAAACTGTGGGGTTTCAGCTAGAAGTAATGGGATGTGCAGTGATTAGAAATTAAACAGTATGACCATGCACATACAAATGGTATTGAGAATGGAATAGTGTGTGACTGCCCCAGTAGCATCATGGGCACAAATCATTCTGAATGCACCATAAAAAGAACTTCTGGAGTGGCTCATGTCTGCAATTCTGATATCATAGAGGGGTAGGTTATGACATACAGGTCCAATTTAACTTTGCGTTGCACCCATCTTCAGTACAGCAAGCAGAGCTGGAGCGCAAATGTTTCTCTTTTCCTATGGTGATGTTATAAGCATTGACACAAGAATCACTTTTTCCACATGAATAGGTTGTTGTGTCAAACTCGGTGCCTGTTTACCGGAAGAAGAGAAAGACAAACAACAGGTCAGGAGAGCTCATTCCCCAGAATCCTTCATTCTCTGCTCAACTCGATGGTCTCCGCTCTGCCTTGCCCTTCCATCCTTTCCAAGTTCTCCCAAAGGAATATGGCTCAGTGGAGTAGAGCCTCCATCTTGCTGAAGAAACTCTGGAAGTTCCAGATCAATGGTGAAGAACCTCAGGTCTGTGGACCAAAGGGAACCTCTTTCTGTATCTGACCTTTCAGAACTGGCCCAATCCACACCCCTTACCAACTTTGTTTTACATCCTCCTTGAGTGTGTTTGCCTGGCTGGTATATGTCATTGAAATCTGATAATGATTTCTGTTTTCCTTGACCAAGTGGAAGATAGAGAGAGAGATGGGTGATTGTGGGCAGAACCTAGCCTATAAAGCTAAAATTGGTAGAGGAGAAAGAATGGGGTACTTCCTGTCCAAGCCTCAGTCTGCCCTCTGCTGGCATCCACCTGTTCAAGGAGGACCCACTATATTTTCCTGATGGAAATAGGGACCCCCTATTCTATTATTATTATTATTATTATTATTTATACTATTTATACCCTGCCCATCTGACTGGGTTGCCCCAGCCACTCTGGGCAGCTTCCAACATATATAAAAACATAAATAAACATTTTTTTAAAAACCTTCCGTATACAGAGCTGCCCTCAGATGTCTTCTAAAGGCTGTATAGTTACTTATCTCCTTGGTTTGGGGGTCGGATAACTCCATACCCTCCAACATTTATCCAGTGAAAATAGGGACGGCACAAGGAAATGCAGGACATTCCAGGGTCAAATCAGAAACCGGGGTAGCTTCTGCAAATCTAGGACTGTCCCTGGAAAATAGGGAAAATTGGAGGGTCCAACTCCTCCTTAGTCTCAGGCTTGTCCCTTGCAGAACTCAGCTGGGAGCAGGAGATGGGGGTGAAAGTAGAATGATTTGGCACTGCCCATCATTGGCCTTCTTCCATACCAGTCCTAATGGGCACCAGCCTCCATTGGATAGATTGTGGCACAGCGTGGAGGATGCCACCAGGCAAGGCCAACACCTCCCTTACCAAGCATGGTGCTCTGGTCCCTGATGAGCACGCAGGCATCCAAACCGCTGACACAGTCCGAAGCGTTAGAAACTTCTGCTCCTTGTACACACTTCAAGACAGCTGGAAGAAGAGAGAAGGGCATCATTCAACTATGGGACTGAAGAGCCCTCATGCATTGGACAAAATGGGGAAGGCCCGTGTCCCATTCAGTGCATAATGCTGACTCTGGGCAAAGTTTTTCCTAGAGTGCTCATCACAGTGTGAAATGCGTTCTGCTGGATAAGAACTTGGCTGTGTACACACCATACATTAAAAGTTTATTTAAAACACACGACACACACACACAACCTAATCGCGGGAACTGTAATTTGCCCATCACAGAACAACAATTCCCAGCACCCTGAACCAACTACAGTTCCCATTATTATTTGGGGAATGTCATGTGCTTTACATGAAGGTTGTTGTCATAATTTACAAATTTTAATGCACATGTGTTTTCTAGCTAATCAAAAGGCCATCTTGGGTGGACAGGGGGAAGAAAGCAGGGAATTATGTCGACTTTGAACAGTCTATTTCCATTCCTTCTTCCTCCCATAGGAGACAGTGATGGCCTCCAACTTTAAAAGAGCATTAGAGAAATTCAGGTAGGAGAAGATTCTCAGTGGTGACTCAGTGTGATGGCTATGCTTTCTGTCTACCACGAAGGCAGCAATGTCTCTGGAAGCCAGTTTCTGGGAATCACAAGTGAAGAGAATGCTGTTGCAGGTCTGAGTTGTGGGATTCCCATAGGCATCTGGCTGAGAATAGGATTGTGGACAATATGGGCTACTGGCCTGATCCTGCAGGCTGTTCCTGTGTTTTTCTACCAAATACAGAGGTAAAGGTAAAGGGACCCCTGACCATTAGGTCCAGTCGCGGACGACTCTGGGGTTGTGGGGCTCATCTCGCTTTATTCGCCGAGGGAGCCAGCATACAGCTTAGCCAGCATGACTAAGCCACTTCTGGCGAACCAGAGCAGCGCACGGAAATGCCATTTACCTTCCCGCTGGAGCGGTACCTATTTATCTACTTGCACTTCGTGCTTTCGAACTGCTAGGTTGGCAGGAGCAGGGACCAAGCAACGGGAGCTGACCCCATCATGGGGATTCGAACTGCCGACCTTCTCAGAGTGCCACCTGTGTCCCACCAAATACAGAATCTAGCCCTTAATTGATTATTGATTGATAGATTACTTAATTTCTATGCTGCTTAATATATTAAAATTATCTCTAAAGGCAAAGGAGCCAATTCCTAGGGGCCAAGGTCCCTTTGCCCTCCCCCCATAAAATATGTCGGGGGGAGGGCCCCCCCAAGAAGATGGGCATTGCCATTCAAATGCTGTGTGTGCACCATGTCATGTGATTGATCATGCAGGGCGGGGATTACCTGCCCCTCCCCAATATTTTATTCAAGTTGGGGGGGCCCCTGCTATGAGGTGTATAAAAAGCCGAAGCAACAACAGACAACTTAAAGAAAACATTACAAAAATACACAGTTACATATAAAAACGTTACATTAATATAACATTACTAATATATATATAAATCAGTAGCAATTCCTTTCTATCTCTTTTTTATATATATAAATTTTATTAGTTTTTTAACATATCATTTTCAACAGTAATTAAACATACTTTTACATCTTATTCAATTTTTTTGACTTCCATCAGTCCTGTCTGAAAATTTTCCAATCTAATTTCTTAGTATGCATTTCTTATTTTCCCTATTACATTTCAAACTCATAACCAATATCTCTATCTTTTTCTACTTTGAAACACTTAGCATATTTCTCCTTACAAAACTTCTTGTAGTCCTACTAGCTTAATTTGTTGGTTACAGTTGCTCTTCAAATAATTCAACAATTCCTTTCATTTTCAGCCTCTTGGTTCTCACCCAGGGTCCAAACACACTCTCAGCTCACCCACAAAAGTCTCGCAATCAGAACAGCAGCCATCGATCTAGTCTCTCACTATAGACTTGCTTTTCATGGGCAAGCCCAAGGTCAATGATACTTCCTTAGGCTTCCCACAGCTGTGTACCATTCAGCTGCCCTCTCCACACCCACTTCAAGGTACAGCAGATGTATTAAGTCTCCCAGGGGGTCCAAAGGATGGGGAAAGTTTCTCCCTGCACTCACAGCTCTTTTTTCACCCTCTGTCCCCTCCTCGTTCTCAAGCTGGCATACAGATCCTCCTGTGGTAAGAAAGTTCTCTGCAAAGTTTTTAACCCTCCAAGATTAGCATTAAACGATGGCACAGTTGGTATGTGATTCCAATTTTGTCCCTGACCACATAGTAGGAAAACAGATCCAATGAAGGATATTTGGAAAAAGAAAAAGAAAAAACTTTACGTGGCAGATCCTGTGCGTGCTGCTCCTGTGAAATGGGGTGCACAGCTGGCATTTGAGTGCTGTATAGAGATGGTGTACTAACAAACACCAGTTTTCTGCGTCATTAAGAGTGGCATATCCCCCCCCCCATGCCTTCAATGGCCCCAGTCCCACCACTGCCTACGGCACACTGAGATTTTGTCAAGAAAGCCAAGAGAAGATCAACCAGCAGTAGAAAACGACCAAGGTCAAGCTAGCAAAGATCTATCATTTGCCCGATAATAAATGCTGGAAATGTAAGGAAACTGAAGGTACATTCTTTCACATTTGGTGGACGTGCCCAAAGATTAAGGCCTTTTGGGAAAGGATATATAATGAGTTAAAAAAGGTATTTAAGTATACCTTTCTAAAGAAACCAGAGGCCTTTCTCCTGGGCATTGTTGGCCAATTGGTGCAAAAGAAAGACAGAACTTTTTTTATGTATGCAACAGCAGCAGCAAGAATACTCATTGCAAAGTATTGGAAGACACAAGATCTACCCACTCTGGAAGAATGGCAGATGAAGGTAATCGAATATATGGAACTGGCCGAGATGACTGGCAGAATCCGCGACCAGGGAGAAGAGTCGGTGGAAGAAGATTGGAAGAAATTCAAAGTCTATCTACAGAAATACTATAAAATTAATGAATGTTAAATTGAAGTCTGATTGAAAATAACTGGTATTGGCAAAAGTTTTGTGATTAAGAGTATGGAATATTTGATGGATAAGGTTGTTAAAATACTTATATATAAATACATTGAGTTTTTTGAGTTAAGATAAGAAAGGAGGGTAAGGATTTGCTGAAAGGAGGTTTTAAATGGAAATGCAAGCGGGGAGATGTGGGGAAGTCAAAGAACTAGGTAAAGATAAGAAGGCTAAATGAAAGTACAATATTTTTTAAATTTTTCTGTTTTCTTTTCTTTTTCTTTTTTTTTCATTCTTTGTTATGGATACTGTTATTTCTGTTTATTTTTTGTCATGGTTATTGTTGTTTTTTGTTTGTTGAATTTTTGTAATTTTGTATTTTCTGGAATTTTTTCTTGTAAAACCAATAAATATTTTATTAAAAAAAGAAAACGACCAAGGCAATAGCATTTTGCTGGTTACACGGCAGGTGACGTAGCTACCTGGGTTGGGGTGTGTGTGTGTGTGTGTGTGTGTGTGTGTGCATGCGTGTATGTATGTATTTTGTAGCTTTATATTCTGATTTTATCCTGTGAACTGCCCTGAGACCTGAGGGTATAGGGCGATACAATCAATCAATCAATCCCATGCAAAATATGCCTCCCAATGCTAGCCCTACTGGACTTAACCTTCCAGAAGTAATTTACCATTACCCTTTTTACCTACTACAAATAGACCTTTCGAAGTTAGAGAACATGACTTAGGCTCATCCATTGCAATATACATACTCCGAGTAGCACTTAGCTGAATACTGTATATTTCAGCCAACACCTTTAGAACTTACAGCAGGCTTAACAGATTACTTACTAACCAGTCTATGATTCTATGATTCCGTATCACCAAATGCATCCACTCAAAAGCTAGCGTGGAAGTCCAAATGGGGGGGGGGGGGACACTAGCTATTGCATGCACCTCATCTCCTCCTTTTGCTAAAAGATCAGTCTGTGGCAAGAACATTCTGCTCAAACTTTTTAACCCCCCTAGATTAGCATCAAACAATGGCCCAGTTGATATGTCATTCCATAGTGCTGGTATTCCGTCTGTCCCTAACAGCATAGTAGGAAAATGGATGTGATCAATGATAAATAACTTACATGTATCCGCAGAGGCAACTAAGAGTGGCGAAAGAAGGCAGAGCACAAGGAGAGGCACCATGGTGCCGTAAGGTAGGGCTAAGATCATTGCTGAGCTTGAGTGCTTCTTGCGCCCAGATGTATGGGCAAAGGACGTTTTATAGATGGGTCTCCAGTAACATCTTTTAGGGAGTTGCTCCAATGAACCACAGTAAAAGGAGTGTTGTGTAGTGTAAATACCCATAAAGAAAATGGGTGGAGATGCTTCTCTTATTGTGCAAGGACTTCCTGGAATGAACGGTGGATTCTGACAACAAATTTGCCAAAATTGATGGCAAACCTGATGCATTTCTACTTTTAGGGATGTTTGACATGTACCTTGCATATTATTACTTATTCCATTTATTCCCCCGCTCCTCTATGGATCCTCAAGCAGGCAGGCAGGAGCACCCTATTATTCTAACAACAACCCTGTGAGGTAGGTTAGGCTGAGAGATAGTGTGTAGCCCAGGGGTCGGCATGGTTTACCTCGCATGGGCCAGTTCACTCCAGCAGAGATCCCTCCATGGGCCAGATGGCAATTTTTAGTGTCTGTATCTGCGCAGACGCGATTTCCAGCATCTGCGCATACGCAGATGTGATTTCCAGCGCCGCAGAAGCGAGCCCCTGTGCCACGCTGTGCCAGTTTAGAGCAGCGCGCAGGGACTCCCCAAGCAGGCAACTTGGTTTGGAGGCAGCTCATGGGCCGGTTAAATGACCCCTGTGGGCTGCTTGTGGCCCATGAGCCTTGGGTTGCCAACCCCTGGGGTAGCCCAAAGTGCATCACTCAAGGAGTTTCATAGATGAGTGGAGATCTGGACCCACGTCTTCCTCACCCTGCCATATTATCATTTATTGCCTGCTATGTTCTGAGATTAGTGCAGCCAGCTCCAGAAAACAGGGAAAGTTCAGTGAGGAGCCTCAAAACTCAAGGATGGTGAGCCTGTGGCCCTCTGGATGTTGATATGGATGCAGCTTCCATCATCCCTAACCATTAGCGATGCTGGCTGGGACTGACGGGAACTCCAGTCCAACAACACCTGGAGGGTGACAGGTTTTGCCACCCCACACTTGGCTCCATGCTCATTCTCCTCTGCCCCCAGATTGTTTGGAACATGAGGGGGTCACCCCCCAAAAATATGGAGGACCCAGAAGAGTGGGGGCCCTAGGATTTGGTATCCCTGGTGTGTGTTTCTGTGTATGTGTGGAGTCGTTTTGGGGTGGGATTGCTTTTTATTGAAGCAAAAGACAGGCTGAACCATGAGTGGCATGAGTGGCATGAGTGGCCAGGCTGTGTCAGGGACTGGACAGAGGAATAGCGATGGACACTGCCTCCCTAGCCTGAACCTTCCAGAGAAGAAGAAGACCGTATAGATTTACAACATTGGTTTGCAGGAGGTCATAGCTCAGAGGCAGATGAAAGGCAAAGGAGGAGGCAGAGTGAGAGCAGTTGGCTGACACATTGTCACTAGATTCAGGTACACAGCTGTGTTGGTCTGATGCAGTCAAAATATATATAAAAAATAATAAAAATGTCCAGTTGCACCTTAGAGACCAATTAGGTTTGTTCTTGGTATAAGCTTTTGTGTGCATGCACACTTCTTCAGATAGTTGTCACTAGAAAGCATTCCAGACTCCCCTTCTCCCAGAACCCGGTGGGCATTGAAAGTAGGAGAGCAAAGGACTCGGACACAAATGACCCTAAGTGGCCACCATAAGGTGGGTGGTGCTGTTGATGATTGAGGAAGTTGAGAGAAGAGGCTGCATTTCTAAGGCTCTCTCTGTGAATATTGAATAAAAGCCATTGGAAAGAACTTTCCTTGTTTCCTCTATTCCTAGCAGCCTTCTGTGGGGGGATCAGATTCCCTGAAGACTGACAGGCTGTGACTTCAAGAACATATGCTTGAGCTTGCTTTTCCCTCCTCCTTCCCCTTGCTTTTTCTGCATGTGATGTGTCTTTTTAGGGTGTGAAGCTGGAATGCAGGAACCATCTTAGTCATAATTTTTATAGTCCACTGTTTTGGTTAAAGGCCACGATATAAATTCCATAAGCAAACAAATAAATCTCCACCAGCCATTTTGTGGGTCATCTGGTCAGGTACGTGACATATCTACCCACTTCCTGTTTAGCAGCCAAAGAAGTTCATTGTGTTTTTCATGGGCTGCTGTCTCTGGCTGTGTTTCCCCCATAGTGTGACATGTGTTACCAAGCCCTAGAAAAAACTAAGGGCTTATTCACACTTCCCCTTGTCCCACTGCTTTCCACTGGGGGAGCAGCTCTTTAGCACACAGTTGGAGCAAATGGCAATTGGGTTTTTTCCCGCAGATGGATGTTTGTTCTGATTGAGCACTAAAGAGCGGGTTTTCCATGCAAAAGGAGTGAGGTAAGGGGACAACCGCTCAAATCACTTGGACCCATGATTTCTAGGCAGGGAACAAGCAGATATGTGGATCAGCCCTAAACCCATGTCCAGACAGTACGCTTCCCCCAAACATTTCTTTTTTTCTTTTTTTTTTAAATATTTATTCCAATTTTGAAATTACAGAAAAAGAAAAAAGTAAAGAAAAACAAAAAAAATCACATACATCTTACAAAAGATAAACAGTAAAAAGAAAAATACAAAAGACAAAAAATCACAATAAAAAATAACAAAAATCAAATTAAACCATTACAACCGTCTTCCCATTTACTTGTTTCCATGACTTCCTCTCACCTCTCTGCTTTGTATTCTAATTTGAATCGTATCTCCAGCAAATCCTTCTAACCTTCTTTTCATTTACTTATTTTAACATTCGAAAGTATTTAATTCTCCTCTATCTTTATTTTACACTTCATATTTACTTATTCCATTATACTCTGTCTGCCAATACGATCTAATATTCTTCTCCAACCTTTTCTAACATTCTTTTATATTACAGTGTTTCTGAAGATATATTTTAAATTTTTTCCAGTCTTCTTCCATCGACCCTTCTTCCTGATCTCGAATTCTGCCGGTCATCTCAGCCAGTTCCATATAGTCTATCACTTTCCTCTGCCACTTCCCCCAAACATTTCTGGGAGTGGTTAAAGGTGCTGAGAGTTGTTAGGAGACCCCAAATCCTGACCCAGAGCTCCAATTTCTGTGTTCCCTGAGGAGAGGGGTGGAGAATTGTAGCTCTGTGTCGAAAAAAGGGAGTCTCCAAACAATTCTCTGCCCTCTTAAACTATAGCCCCCTGAATTCTTTGGGGGAGGCAATGGGTGTTTGGCATCATAGTGGTTCAGGAGTGGCTTGGACTGGCACCATTGAGAAAGGGATGAAGACAGTGGTCTGTGTCTGAGAGAGTCTCTCCTTTGACAAAGGATTTGTTGATCGCCCAACTCATGGGCAATCGTTTTCCAACCCTGATGCAGACCTCCTTACTTCTGCTGCAGAAAGCTGAGCTGCACTATGTCCTTGGATCTTGCTGTTACTGTTCAACTGGCATGAATTCAGGCCATTCCTCTAGGTTCAGAGATTGACTCCCAAAACAGAAGTGCTGGATTAACTGCCTGGCAATAAAACTGCCATTGTTGCCCGTATCACAGTCCCCTGGCTTTGTTGCAAATGCAAACAGGGTTGTAGCCTTTGGCACAGTCAGCCTCTGACATTGGCCTCACTGGGCACCTACTGAAGCCCACACCCCACTTGCAGTCCCCTGACTAGCTCTATGCATGATAGTCAGATGATTGTTGTTCTGGGTGGGGTTTCAGTCCCTCTGGTGCAGCAGCTAAGAAGCTTGAGGATAGGGACAGGGAAGACATCCCATTCAACTTGTACCTCAGTTTCTGCCGTGTGGTAACAAGTTTCTAGGGGGTTCCAGGCACTCAAGATTTGTGTTTTTCCATTAGAAAATCAGGACACAGCAGAGTCTGCAATGTCTTAGAAATATGGTTTATTCACACATATTTGCACCTAAAACCTTCAGTGGAGGAAGTGCAGAATATGACACCCCAAGAGTATCTCTCATTGCTCCTCTCATAGCTATAGCAAGCTTGGCCCCACCCCATCACTTAATGGATCCAAATGGTTTCCAGGGAGTGGCAGGGGTTGGATCTCTCGGTGGCATTTGATACCATCAATCATAACATTCTTCTGGACTATCTAGAGGAGCTGGGGGCACTGTTATACAGTGTTCCACTCCTTCCTCCTGGGCTGTGTCCAGAAAGTGGTGATGGGGGATGAGCGGGTTATAAATATTATTATTATTATTATTATTATTATTATTATTATTATTATTATTCCCATGTTGATGGCCTTTCAGCTGATTCCCTGGTGACCCACTGGAATGCAGAGTTAACCAGGGCTATGAACTGTCTGGCTCCGAAGCACCCTCTCCAATTGTATGGAGCCTGGACAGCCCCGTGGTTTTCTGCAGAGCTGAGGGCAATGAAACATTCGTTGAGATGACTAGAGTGCTGGTGGCGGAAAACTCATTCTGAATCGAACCAGAAATGGGTTAGAGCTCAATGTCAAGCCTATCAAGTGGTGACAGCGACAGTGAAGAGGACCTTCTTCACTGCCTCTATTGCATCTGCAGAAGACAGCAGCAGGAAACTCTTTCAGGTGGTTCGTAATCCAACAGAACCACTTTTGCTATCGGGGCCTAGTAAGGATCCCAAGATCTCCTGCAATGATTTTGCAACTCTTTTGCAGATAAAGTCTCTCAGATTCGGAAAGAGATAGACTCCACCATGGGAGCAGGGCCGGGGGAGAGTACTAGAGTCCTGTCTGGTCAAGTTGCATGGGATCAATTCCAATCTGTTACCTCCAAGGATGTGGAAGGTTGTTTGGATGAATGAAACCAACCATCTGTCTCCTTGATCCTTGCCCATCCTGGCTCATAAAAGCCAGCTGTAAAGGGCTGGGCGATGGGCTCTGTGGGGTGGTGAATGCTTCCCTCTATGAGGGAGCCTTCCCAGACCCACTAAAAGAGGTGGTTATTAAACCATTTCTTTAAAAAACATATTTGGTCCGGGCCAATATGGCCAACTATTGCCCAGTCTCAAATCTTCCATTCTTGGGCAAGGGGAGTGAGTGGTTGGTTGCGGAACAACTCCAGGCATGCCTGGAGGATGCGGACCATTTGGATCCCTTCCAATTGGGATTCAGGCCCCATCATGGGACTGAAACTGCCTTGGTTGTGCTGGTCTATGATCTCTAGCGGGCTAGGGACAAAGGTGAAAGCTGTTTCTTAGTTCAGCTGGATCTCTCAGCGGCCTTTGATACCATCAACCATGACATCCTTCTGAGCCATTTAAAGGAGCTGGGAGCTGGGGCACTGTTATACAGTGGTTCCGTTCCTTCCTCCTGGGCCATGTCCAGAAAGTGGTGTTGGGGAATGAGTGTTCAGACCCCTGGGCTCTCACTTGTGGGGTGCCTCAAGGTTCTGTCCTCTCCTCCATGCTTTTTAATACCTATATGAAGCTTCTGGGAGAGATCATCAGGGGGCTTGTGCTGACTGTTCATCAGTATGCAGATGATACCCAGCTTGCCTCTTTTTCAAATCAAAGCAAGTGAAGGCAGTGAATGTCATGTGTGAATGTATGGAGGCGGTTGGAGGATGGATGGCATATAACAGATTGAGGTTGAATCCTGACAAGGCAGAAGTACTGTTTCTGGGGGATAGGGGGCAGGCTGGTATGGGGGACTCCCTGCTTCTGAATAGGGTAACTATGCCCCTGAAGAACTATGTGCACCGCCTGGGAGTCATTTCAGACTCACAACTGTCCATGGAGGCGCAGGTTAATTCTGTGTCCAGGGCAGCTGTCTACCAGCTCCATCTGGTATGCAGGCTGAGACCCTGTCTTGTCAGAGTGGTGCATGCTCTAGTTCTCTCCTGCTTGGACTACTGCAATGTGCTCTATGTGGGGCTACCTTTGAAGGTGACCTGGAAACTACAACTAATCCAGAATGTGGTAGCTAGTCTGGTGACTGGGAGTGGCCAATGAGACCACATAACACTGGGCCTGAAAGACCTACATTGGCTTCCAGTATGTTTCTGAGCAACATTCAAAGTGTTGGTGCTGACCTTTAAAGCACTAAACCACCTTCGGTCCAGTATACCTGAAGGAGCGTCTCCACCCCCATCATCCAGCCAGGACACTGAGGTCCAGCGCTGAGGGCCTTCTGGTGTTTCCCTCACTGCAAGAAGTGAGGTTGCAGGGAACCAGGCAGAGGGCCTTCTCAGTAGTGGTGCCTGCCTTGTGGAATGCCCTTCCACCAGAAGTCAATGAAATAAAGAACTATCTGACTTTTGGAAGACATCTGAAAGGAGTCCTGTTTAGGGAAGTTTTTAATTTTTGTTGTTTTACAGTGTTTTTAATATTTTGTTGATAGCCATCCAGAGTAGCTAGGGAAACCCAGCCAAATGAGCGGGGTAGGAAGAAGAAGAAGAAGAGGAAGAAGAAGAAGAAGAAGTTGTTGTTGCTGCTATTATTATTATTATTATTATTATTATTATCATCAAGTCATGTCCCCCAGTCTCTCAGTGCATTTTTTACATTTAAAAACAAAACAAAAACGTAAGGTGGTCATAGTTGCAGGATCGCATTGGAAGATTTCCAGTGCGCCATCAGAATCCTAGTTTTGCATGAAGAAATGGGGGTTGGAGGTTAATAACTGTGTGGGGTAAGGAAAGGAAGCTTGGGGGGTTAATGTAGAGGGAATGATAATGAGATTGGTGAATGGTGTCAGCAGGAAGAAAGATGTTTGTGTGTTTCTATGCTAGCCTAATCCACTTCTAGTAGTCCAAAAACTTTAGAGCAATGCAAACTGGAAAAGGTAACATACAGATCTTCACCCATCCCTCTAACCACCCCACTTCCTCCTCCTCCTCTTCCTCCTCCTCTTCTTCTTCTTTAAAAAAATATTTTTTATTAAAGATTTTCTACTTCTGATTTTGAGTTTAGGTTTTCTAACTCTTTTTAAATGAGATTCCTCTCTTTTTATATACAGTGGTACCTCAGGTTACTGACACTTCAGGTTACAGATTCCGCTAACCCAGAAATAGTACCTTGGGTTAAGACCTTTGCTTCAGGTTGAGAACAGAAATCCCGTGGCGGCGGCAGGAGACCCCATTACTTAAAGTGGTGCTTCAGGTTAAGAACAGTTTCAGGTTAAGAACGGACCTCCAGAACAAATTAAGTTCTTAACCTGAGGTATCACTGTATACAATAATTTCAGACATAGCTAATGAGTTGTTTTATTTTGTATTTGTTTTTCTGCCCCAGAATGGTTGAATCACTTTTTAAATCGATACAATTAAAAGTATATTATGAAGAAACACAAGGACCTCTTTTAGCACCCCACCCAGCCATGCAAGGAGCCTCTGGTTGGGACCTTCACTGCAGTAAATTATTGCTGATAACCATCCGGAAGAAACAAACAAAACCATTTTTGGACTAAATATTCTTTATTGGGCCTGCAATCTTTCATTCAGAAAACAGCCTGGAGCTTCAAAAACACACTTTGGAGGAGGTGGGGGAGGTATTGTGATACTCAAGTCAGGATGAGGAAGAAATTCAATTTTGTATGCCTATTAATGAGAAACTAACTCATTTGCACTTTCCAGACCAATATGCAAACTAAAACTCAGCCTTAAAATTTCATGTTTCTCATAATTTTGCAATGTAGTTCATAAGCCAAACATTGTATACAAAAATGTATTTATGTGAGGAAAGTGCATATATTAGGGATAAAAACATTCTGTGTCTATTGTTCAAACTGCATGTAAACGCTGTGTTTATTAGGGTAAATCCACGCTAAAATGTGAGCAGATTTTCAATAGTTTTTTTAAGAAGCTAATTGCTGTAGAAATGCCGAGAATTGAATTTAAGGTTAAAAAATTGAGAAACTTAATAGCACTGTAATTTGAAATATCTGTCCATTCCAGTGCCAGAATGCTCATGGCATGAATCCTTCAAAGTGGCTGGCATTGAAAGAGAGCTCAGGAGAGAAACCTCATAAAGGGAATGCTGGAGATCATGGGTAGCAAGAGAAGGAAGGAGTTCTTCCCCAAGGTATGGTTGGCACTAGGTATTGTTGCTTTAGGAGTTGTGGCTGGTTTCCAAGTTGTGGCTGATGCAGAATTTCTGGCTCTTTAAGGTTTTGGAGGATCTGCTTTTTCTGCAGCAGGGACACATGTTATTGTTTTGATTTTGTAGAGGATTCCTCCAATGGTCAGTGCATAGTTCTCTACACCGCACATATTGCTTGTTCCACAACCATGCAGGACGAACTTCTTGGCTCCTGCAGGTAAATATGGGGATCATCAGCAGGTGTCAGTGGCAGCTGCTCTAGTACAGCAAATGGGGCACGACCCCTTCCATTTCAGTCTGCCCTCACCCAGCCCCCATCAGCCTGCCTTCTGACTCACAACCAGGCCAAGCCTGACCCTCCTCCTCCCTTCCTAATTCCCTTCAGGGTTACCAGAGCTTCCTGTTGCACTGATGCAATTCATTTGACCATCTGTGCATGAGACCGGTCCACCCTTGCATTTCTCCTCCGTCTGAGCATAACATCCAGTTGGACAAATGTACCCATTCTGAGTCCAAGTAGTTGGAAGAACTAGGAAGCAAAGAAGGAAGAAGCAAATTGTCATATATGGAAAGTTTTTACATAAGAATCTCCGAAGAGCCCCGCTGGATCATTGACAGGCCTGCTTCACACAGACACAGCAGCCGCAGCCTTCCTGATGCATTCACAAAACCACCCACTGAGTCCTCCCCACTCCCAGGTCTTTGTTAGCATATTCTTTGTCAGAATAAAAGAATGAGGTCTAGAGTCACAAGTTTGACACCTTTCCTGTCTTGTGTTAGGATGAAAGGTGTGGAGGGACTAAAACTTCCTCCACTCCACCCTGTTCCTGCCAAGTTTCAAAAGCAAATTGAGAATGTTTTCATCATTCTGAAACCAAGGGCCCCACCAGACTGGTGTTTTATTGCTGGGTCATTTGTGCACCATGTTCTTCAAACTATAACACTGCATTGGTGATGGATTTCTCCTGGTTTCATTTGTCCTGTGGTGTTTCCTACTGCATTATTGCTGACTGGAGGGGCTGTGGAGCAACAGAAGTGAGACGTAAATAAACCAGGACATTTGTGGCATGAAAGGTTTCAGCAGGAAATAATGGGTTGTGCACTGATTGGAAATGAAGCAGTATGACCAGCCCAATACCTCTGCACACGCAAACAGTATTGAGAGTGGAATTGTGTGTGACTGGACCCATAGCACCATGAGCACAAATCACCCTGAATGCACTATAAAAAGAACTTTGGGAGGGGTCCAGGTTTGCAATTCTGATATCAGAGAGGGGCAGGTGATGACTTACTTCCCCAATCTAAGTTTTTGTTGCACCCATCTTCAGTACAGCAAGCAGAGCTGGAGCGTAAATGTTTCCCGTCTCCTATGGTGATGGTAAAAGCATTGGCACAAGAATCATTTTTCCCACATGTATAGAATGTTGTAGTAAACTTGACCCCTGTATACCAGAAAAGGAAAAAGACAGACAACATGTCAGGAGAGCTCATTCCCCAGAATCCTTCATTCTCTGCCGAACTCTGTGGTCTCCGCTCTGCCTTGCCTTTCCATCTGTTCCAAGTTCTCCCAAGGGAATATGGCTTGCTAGAGTACAAGCGCCTCCATCTTGCTGAATTAAGCTTTGGAAGTTCCAGATCAATTGTGAAGAACCTCAGTTCTGTGGATCAAAAGCAACCTCTTTCTGTTTCTGACCATTCAGAAACGGCCCAATCCACACCCCTTACCAACTTCATTTTACATCCACCTTGAGTGTGTTTCCCTGGCTGGTATATGTATTTGAAATCTGACAATGATTCTTGTTTTCCTTGACTGGATGAAAGAGAGAGAGAGAGAGATGGGTGTTTGTGAGCGGAACCTAGCCTATAAAGCTATAATTTACATTTATTGTTTGCCCACTCTTGGTGGGCAGTGGTAGAGGAGAAAGTCCTGGTATGGGATACTTCCTTTTCTATTATTATTATTATTATTATTATTATTATTATTATTATTATACCCTACCCATCTGACTGGGTTGCCCCAGCCACTCTAGGTGGCTTCCAACATATATAAAAACATAATAAAACATTTACAAACTTCCCTATGCAGGGCGGTCTTCAGATGTCTTCTAAAGGTTGCATGGTTACTTATCTCCTTGGTTCAGGGGTCGGATAACTCCATACCCTCCAACATTTATTCAATGAAAATAGGGTCATCCTAAGGAAATGCAGGGCATTCCAGGATCAAATCAGAAACCGGGGCAGCTTCTGTAAATCCGGGACTGTCCCTGCAAAATAGGGAAACTTGGAGGGTCTGCTACCAGCTTCCAACTCCTTCTTAGTCTCAGAGTTGTCCCTTGCAGAACTCAGCTGGGAGCAGGAGATGGGGACGAAAGTAGAATGATTTGGCACTGCCCATCATTGGCCTTCTTCCATACCAGTCCTAATGGACTGTCCAATCTATCCATTGGATAGATTGTGGCACAGCGTGGCGCATGCCACCAGGCAAGGCCAACATCTTCCTTACCAAACATTGTGCTCTCGTCCTTGATGACCACGCAGGCATTCAAACCACTGGCACAGTCTGAAACCTCAGAACCTTCAGTTCCTTGTTGACACTTAAGGGCTGGAAGAAGAAAGTAAAGGCTGAACAAAATTATATCAGAGTGAAGACATAACAAATATAATGGGAGAAGTTCTGCTGTGGCTCTGTGATTGGAGGAGCCTCCCCCCCTCCTTGAGAGGACAATTAGGACAATGGGAGAGGTTAAATACCTCAGAAAAATAAGGGGGCAGATGACAGAGATAAATATACATACAAAAATTAAATATTTGGGAATATAGTTGATAGACAAGAATATTAAGATATTTAAAGACAATAATGAGAAAATTTGGAAAAGAAATAAAAAGGAATTTAGAAATTTGGGGAAGAATGAATTTGTCATTGTTAGAAAGAATTTCAGTGACTGAGATGAATGTATTGCCAAAAATGTTGTTTTTATTCCAATCAATCCCAGTGAGAAGCAATTCGAGCTGCTTCAAAGAATGGCAAAAAAATATTTCAAAATTTATATGGAAAGGGAAGAAACCAAGAATAAAATATAAACTACGTACTAACAGACATCAAAGATAGAGGAGGTTTCTCTCTACCGGATTTAAGATTATATTATGAAGCATCTTGCATCTGCTGGATCCAGGATTGGATAAAAGTAAAAGATACAGATTTGCTAGATTTAGAAGGCCATGACAACAGATTTGACTGGCATGCGTATATATGGTACCATAAGGCAAAATTACATAAATGATTTTGGAATCATATAATAAGAAAATCAGTTTTTTAAGTCTGGGAGAAATATAAAGATCTATCAGAACAAAAAACAAAACAAAACACCATGGTGGTTCTCCACGCTAGAAGCAATATCTCTTTAAAAAATGAATCAGATGACAAATTGGTCAACATACAGATAATCAGTTAAAATTAAAGGAGTTTGTAAAAGTCAGAGAAATGGTTACAGATTGGTTACAATATTTTCAGTTAAATGAAACCTTTAAAAATGATAAAAAGAAAGGATTTAGCTATGAAGTGTCAAGATTTCAGAGAGAGATAATAGACCATACCAAATTACTGTCAAAAATGTATAATCTGCTCTTGGAATGGAATACCAAAGAGGAACAGGTCAAATCTGTCATGATAAAATGGGCAAAAGATGTGGCACACAATATACAAATGATAGACTGGGAAAAGCTCTGGAAGAGAGATCTGAAATGTATGGCATGTACCTCATTGAAAGAAAACCATATGAAAATGATGTATCGGTGGTATCTAACCCCGGTTGAATTAGCAAAGATTTATTGAACAAGATTAAATATGTGTTGGAAATGTAAAGAAGTAGAAGGTACCTTTTATCATACGTGGTGGAAATGGAAGGTTGGATAGCAATTCCTTTCATTCTCAGCCTCCGGGTTCTCACCCAGGGTCCAAACACACCCTCAGCTCACCCACAAAAGTCTCACAATCAGAACAGCGGCCATCGATCTAGTCTCTCACTATAGACTTGCTTTTCATGGGCAAGCCCAAGGTCAATGGTACTTCCTTAGGTTTCACACAGCTGTGTCCCATTCAGCTGCCCTCTCCACACCCACTTCAAGGTACAGCAGATGCGCTAAGTCTCCCAGGGGGTCCAAAGGATGGGGAAAGTTTCTCCCCCCACTCACAGCTCTTTCTTCACCCTCTGTCCCCTCCTCGTTTTCAAGCTGGCATACAGATCCTCCTGTGGTAAGAAAGTTCTCTGCAAAGTTTTTAACCCTCTGAGATTAGCATCAAATGATGGCACAGTTGGTATGTGATTCCAAAGTACTAGCCTTTCATTTTGTCCTTAATAGCATCATAGGAAAAGGGATGTCATCAATGATAAATAACTTACGTGGATCCACAGAGGCAACTAAGAGTGGTGAAAGAAGGCAGAGCACAAGGAGAGGCACCATGGTGTCGTAAGGTAGGGCTAAGGTCCTTGCTGAGCTTGAGTGCTTCTTGCGCACAGATGTATGTGCAAAGGACATTTTATAGATGGGTCTGCTGTAACATCTTTTAGGGAGTTGCTCCAATGAACCACAGTAAAAGGAGTGCTCTGTAGTGTAAATACCCATAAAGAAAATGGGTGGAGATGCCTCTCTTATTGTGCCAGGACTTCCTGGAATGAATGGTGGATTCTGACGACAAATTTGGCAAAACTGCTGCCAACTTGAGGCATTTCTAGCTTTAGGAATGTTTGGCATGTACCTTACATATTATTACTTATTCCATTTATTCCCCCGCTCCTCTATGGATCCTCAAGCAGGCAGGCAGGCAGGGAGGAGCACTCTTTTATTCTAACAACAACCCTGTGAGGTAGGTTCGGCTGAGAGATAGTGTGTAGCCCAAAGTACATCACCCAAGGAGTTTCATGGATGAGTGGAGATCTGGCTCCAGGTCTTCCTCATCCTGCCATATTATCATTTATTGCCTGCTGTGTTCTGAGATTAGTGCAGCCAGCTCCAGAAAACAGGGAAAGTTCAGAGAGGAGCCTCAAAATTCAAGGATGGTGAGCCTGTAGCCCTCTGGATGTTGATATGGATGCAGTTTTCATCAACCCTAACCAATAGCCATGCTGGCTGGGAATGACGGGAACTGCAGTCCAGCAACACCTGGAGGGTGACAAATTCGCTACCCCAGCTCAAGTTCAAAAAGTGTGAGGAACACTTCTCTCTCAAGCCTCATCTGGTGAGGATCCTATCCAGCAGCAACATAGTTTTCAATAGAAGGACTATATGGTAGAAGGTGTCTCATCCTCTTGAGAGTGAAGGCGCTCTTAGCTCTGCTCCTGAAGATTGTTGTTGATGTGTGTGTGAGTGTGTCAGAGGGGCCAAATTGCTCTGAAGATTGGGGACGGGTGATGACACACGCATGATGTCAGGATACCGGGAGGAATCAGGGAGTGGTGTCAGGTGTCATGGAATCCGATCCCCACTCCCACCCCCATTGTAGGCTGCCAAGAATAGATAGGACAAGGATAGTTCTTACCAATGTCTATTATTCAATAATTACGAAGAGAGGATTAGAAATGCAGCCTCTTGGAGTAATGGTGTTGCTCTGAGTAATCTCCACCCCACTTCTCTCCTCATTCGTCAACAGCACCATCCACCTTACGGTGCCCGCTTAGGGACATTTCCTCCGAGCCTTTTGCTTTCCTACTTTCAGTGCTCGCCGGGTTCTGGGAGAAGGCCGGCCTGGAATGCTTTCTAGTGATAACGTGTCAGCCAGCTGCTCCGGCTCTGCTTACCCCTCCTCCTCTCCCATTATTTCCCAAATTTGCCCCTCGTGTGCCTCTGAGCCGTAACCTTCCTCAAACAACTGTTGTAAATCTATACTGTCTTCCTCTTCTCTGGAAGGTTCAGGATGGGGAGGTGGTCTCCACCATTCCTCCTCTGTCCAGTCCTGACAGGTGGAGGTAAATGCAGCGGCAGTGCAGATTCAATGGCCAGCGGTTCCTCCTCTCTCATGTTCAGCCTTCTCCCCCTCCTCCCTCTGCTGCCACTGGATGGGTGCTGCTTCCCCCTCCTTCCCCTCCGCAACAGGAGGAGGAGCCAGCCACTGAAGCCGAACCACACGTGGCTCTGTGCTCAGTCTCCTCTGCCCCCTAATTGTTTGGAACATTGGGGGGGTTACCCACCAAAATATGGGGCACCCAGAAGAGCAGGGGCCCTAGGATTTGGCACCCCTGGTGTGTATGTGTGTTTGTGTGTATGTGTGGAGTCGTTTTGGGGTGGGATTGCATTTTATTGAAGCAAAAGACAGGCAGAACCATGAGTGACATTGGCTGGGCCAGGGACTGGACAGAGGAATAGTGGTGGACACCACCTCCCTAGCCTGAACCTTCCAGAGAAGAAGAAGACCGTAAAGATTTACAACAGTGGTTTGCGGGGGGTGGGGTCATAGCTCAGAGGAGGATGAAAGGCAAAGTTGGGAAATTATGGGAGAAGAGGAGGAGGCAGAGCTGGAGCAGCTGGATGACATGTTATCACTAGAAAGCATTCCAGACCCCCCTTCTCCCAGAACCTGGCAGGCATTGAAAATAGGAGACCAAAGGGCTCGGAGACAAATGACCCTAAGTGGCCACCGTAAGGTGGGTGGTGCTGATGACGATTGAGGAAGTTGAGAAAAGAGGCTGCATTTCTAAGCCTCTCTCCGTGAATATTGAATAAAAGCCATTGGTAAGAACTTTCCTTGTTTCCTCTATTCCTAGCAGTCTTCTGTGGGGGGATCAGATTCCCTGAAGACTGACAGGCTGTGACTTCAAGAACATGTGCTTGAGCTTGCTTTTCCCTCCTCCTTCCCCTTGCTTTTTCTGCATGTGATGTGTCTTTTTAGGGTGTGAAGCTGGAATGCAGGAACCATTTAGTCATAATTTTTATAGTCCACTGTTTTGGATAAAGGCCACGATATAAATTCCATAAGCAAACAAATAAATCTCCACCAGCCATTTTTTGGATCATTTGGTCAGGTACGTGACATATCTACCCACTTCCTGTTTGGCAGCCAAACCAGGAAGTTCGTTGGTCTTTCATGGGCTGCTGTCTCTGGCTGTGTTTTCCCCTCAGTGTAACATGTGTTACCAACCCCTAGATGAAACTAAGGGCTTATTCTCACTTCCCCTTGTCCCACTGCTTTCCCCGCTCAATTGGAGCAAATGGCAATTTGGGCTTTTTTTCCAGATGGATGTTTGTTCTGAACGAGCACTAAAGAGCAAGTTTTCCATGCAAAAGGAGTGGGGTAAGGGGACGACCGCTCAGACCACGTGGACTCAGGCTTTCTAGGCAGGGAACAAGCAGGAATGTGGGTGAGCCTTAAAGCCATGTTTGCACAGTAAGCTTCCTCCAAAGATTTCCAGGAGTGGTAGTTTGTTAAAGGTGCTGAGAGTTGTTAGGAGACCCCTTGTTAAGACATGGAGAGTCCTCCCCTCCCTTTGGTAACTTCCCAGATAAGAATTAATGAACAGTTTATAATCTATAGTCCTTTTTATTCAGTGATATGGTTGAAAGCAAAAATCCACATTGCTCCACAAGGAGAGCAGCAACATCCTGGATGCCAACAGGAAGTTCCTCCTCCTCTCTGCATTCTTTGTTCTCTAATACAGACGAACCTTCTAGTTCTTAGGGAGGGAGGGTCCCTCACACTCTCTAATGATGTCTCTGCTGGCTGTTCCCTCCCTTCTGTTTATCTACCCATTATCTTGTAGCTAGGTAACTCCTGCTGAAGCTGCTCAGTGTCAGTATCTGTCCCTGCTTCTGAAACTGCTGGAGACCGGGGTGGGGGGGCACGCGAATCTTCCCCCTCCAACTGCTCTTCAGATAGGAGTTACTCTGCCTGGAGATACATTCTCCAACCCTCTGATTCAGACCATGCCCTGACACCCCAATCCCCCCCCCCGAGCTATAATTCCTAAGTTCCCTGAGGAGAGGGGTGGAGAACTGTAGCTCTGTGATGGGAAAAGGCAATCTCCAAACAATTCTCTGCCCCCTTAACAAACTAAAGCTCCCTAAATTCTTGGGGGGGGGGGCAATGGGTGTTTGGCATCATAGTGGTTCAGGAGTGGCTTGGACTGGCACCGTTGAGAAAGGGATGAAGACGGGGGCTGCTAGGGGCGCATTGGAAGATGGCCGACAATTCCATCTCTCCGGCTCACAAGAGGTAATTAAGAGGCTGATATGGGAGTATGCAGCCTCCCTTGTTACCCCAAGGGAATGGGGAACACTGCCTTGCCTGCGGTTGCCATAAATCACCCCCAGATTCGAAAGAAGGGGGTGAGGGCACTAGGCACACAGCCCTCGTGCGAGACGGCTCTCCCTTAAGCTGTCTCTGATCGCGCATCTGGTTGCAAGAGCTCAAAATAAACAATTAGAGAGAAGCAAATGCACATATTTCGAGTGAAGATCGGGAGATAAGACTGCTCATTAAAGTGATCTCTGTGAAGTGGAGTGACGGGCTGGACTCAATCATAAATCAAGAAGAAGATTCCTCAAAGGATCGGTATGTCGGAGTGGGACTGAAAGGGGGGGCTTTTTATTATCTTATGTGAGTACCTAACAACCCCCCCCCCCAAGAAAGAATTGTTGCAATTACTGATTACAAGCAGGATGATTGAGAACTGTGTGGAAATAAATTACTAATCAAAGACATGGCCTGTGGGAACATCAGGAAAGGAATGAAAGCTCTTTGTGACGCAGTAATAAAAAGAGATTTGTTACGGCAGGCCTGCCACAGGATGATCGAGGGGGAGGAGGACCATGGTTTGTTATTATACCGGACTGTGAGTTTGACCTAGCAGGGCCCCCTGAGAAAATTGAGGAGAGACTGGCAGGCCTGTGGAAATTAATGGACAGACTTTGGGAATGCTTTGTACGGAGGTGTGGAAATGGCGTCTGTCTATTTTGATATGGCTCTTGGAGGAGTGTAAAATCCACACAGGATATAACAACGTTTGTTTTCAACCCGCTTGTGGAGACCACCAGAGATCACAAAGAAAGGAATATATGATAACAACAAGAAGATGAGGAAAATAACAAAGAGAAGATTGAACAGAACTGTGAATACTATTTTGACAGAACTGTGTACATTAAAGCAGCAGCAAGAGAGATGTTTGGATTCCGTTCTGAGCTCGAAGCATGGGTACCCCCAACAAAAACTTTAAAATTTGGAATTAATGTGATTTGGAATTAATGTGATTTGATTGGCCTGTTAATAAAAATTATTTGAAAAAAAGAGAGAGGGATGAAGACAGTGGCCTGTGCCTGAGAGAGTCTCTCCATAACAAAGGATTTGTTGATTGCCCAAATCATGGGTGATCATTCTCAAAGGTCCTTCTCCAACCCTGATGCAGACCTCCTTTCTCCTGTCACAGAAAGGTGAGCTGCAGTATGTCCCTGGATCTTGCTGCTGCTGTTCAGCT